GCGCCGGGGCCGCGCCGGGGCCGCGCCGGGGCCGCGCCGGGGCCGCGCCGGGGCCGCGCCGGGGCCGCGCCGGGGCCGCGCCGGGGCCGCGCCGGCGCTCGCTGCGGGCCCGCCGGTGATGCCGGCCCCGCGCCCGCGCTGCCCCGCGCCCGGCCATGCTGCCCTGCGGGGCCGTGCTCTGGCGGCGGCTGCTCAGGAAGCGATGGGTCCTCGGCGTGGTCTTCGGGCTCTCGCTCGTTTATTTCATCAGCAGCACCTTCAAGCAGGTCAGTGCCGGCCCCGCACGCCGCGGGCTGGGGTAAAACGTGCCGTGTGCCACGGTGGCTGTCGTTCTTCAGGTGCTGTCAGCGCTCTCCTGGGTCGTGCTGCCGTAAGGGTGGCGTTATAGATACTTAATGGGGTTTAAAATAGGAATGGCCGATTCTGTGTTTGAACCAAAACTGGGAAAAGAATGTCTCCACTGGGTTTGGTGGGTGTTGTTGTTGTGTCTCTTGGGGGTGGTGATTCCACTGGCAAAGGGCTCATGAAAGAGAAATACGTTCAGCTGTGGTTATTTAATATAATGCCTGCTACTTTTGTGGTTGTAGTGACCGAGTTCAGCTGTGTTAGCTGATCCATGGTGAACTGGAATATCCTGACTTTACTGGACTGCTTGTCTTCCTGTTGTGTATACTGTTAAGTATATATGTGTGTATATGCATGTAATATAAAATACTGCAAGTAGTAAATTGTTTGCACCGTTGGTGCTAGAATTTCCTGTGCTGTGGAGTTTACAACTACAAGGCATCTTTAGTCCTGGGAGAGGCACGTGGATTGAAGTGGCAGGAGGAACTGGTATGTTTGGTGGCATTCCTGTTTTTCTTGCAGGAGGAGAGGATGGTGAGAGATCGGACTCTCCTCCAAGTGCAGGAGCATGAGCAGCCCATCATGTGGAAGGTGAAGTTCAGCTCGGGGAACAGCAGTCAGCTGAGCAACCAGTGCAGGAACTCTGTGCAGGGGAAGCTCCTCATTACAGATGAACTGGGTATAGTTGATATTTAGTTGAATTTATTCTGCATCTGGCACTGCTGAATGCTGTTTTGTCTGTCTGACTGCTGGTGGCACTTCGATGTAACAACTGCTGTTTATTAAGGCATTTTCACTCAGCCCTTGGCCTGCTCTCCTCTGGCTGCCTCGATTTCCCTGTGGCTGCAGATGCTGCTGCTTTGGTTCTGTGCACACCAGACTCAGGCCCAGGGCTGTGAGAGTGTGACTGTGACCACCTTAAAGCCAAAGAGTTCCAGTTACCTTTGCACAGAGCCCAGACATTGAGTCCTGCTCAATTTGCTGTGGTTGCTTGCAGAGCTCTTTGTGTCTCCCTGCAGTGTGCTCCTGCTGTCAGGGGAGTTAGGAGAGCAACTGAGGAAGCCTTGGCCGTGTACGGAGGCAGCTCAGGGCTGGTGTAATTAGTGCTCAGGCACAGTTAATGAGCTTGTCTGACCCTTGTAAACCCAAGGTTATTAACCACTTGTTTGAAGCAGTAGAAGTTAAAGACTCTTTCCTGCCCTGCACTGTGCTTGTTGCTTAGACCTGGATCTTTCTTGGCCACAAATCAAGGCTATAGAAAACCCACTGCATCTTTGGTGATTTGCATCAATGTTAAATTTGGCACTGCCTGACTAAGTGCCAGTTCATAAGATCTCTAAAAATTACAGATCTCTCAGAGTCTAACACTGTGGTAGGACCATTTCCATAAGGATATACACCATATTTCTATACTGTTAAGGATTCTACTCAGCAATGAATATTACACTGTCCTGCATGGCTAAATCTAAGTCTCTTCATACTGAACTGTAAAGGAATTATCCAGACACAGCCCCGTTGTAAAAACATGGGTTTTTTCCAATATAATCAATGCCAATCTCATTCCCTCTTTCACAACAAAGAACTGTGCCCCAAAAAAATTCAGAATTTAAATAATCTGCATTTAAATACTCCTGGTGTATATACAACACGTATTAGAGCAGGATGTGGTATCTGTGCAGATAACACCAGGCTGTCTGAAACACTGACACTGCTCTCCATTTCAAAGAGTGGCTGCATAGGACTGAGGGGGATCATCATCTACTAAATGACACACAAACCTGCTCTTGAGGAATGTGATTCCTACTGCAGATTTCTGTAGAACATACAGGGGGGTGTGCCTTGCCAGTTGTCACTGCTGCTGCTGTTTTCCAGGCTACATCTGTGAGAGGAAGGACCTGCTGGTGAATGGCTGCTGCAACGTGCACGTGCCCAGCACGAAGCTGTACAGCTGTGACAGCTGCCTGCCCAACGGCTGCTGCAGCATCTACGAGTTCTGCGTGTCCTGCTGCCTGCAGCCCAGCAAGGTGATGCCCTTCCTCCTGCTTTCCAGGTGTTCTCAGCTGTTGGCTCCCTCTGTGGCTAAAAGTGCTTCTTTGTGAGGAGCTTTTCCCTTAGAGGGACAGTTCCTTTTCTTGGGAGGATGAGGAAAAACTCCAAGGAGCGTATGGCAAACTATAAATAAAGCTTTAACAAAACTCATCCTTCCCACCTTATGGAGGAAATACTGGGGGCCTAGAAAAGTGTTTCAGCTTCAGGGGAATTGCATTTGCTGAAGGGAAATGGATGCAGAAGAGTTATTCCAGCCACTATTAGTTTTGTAATTGGCATTTCCCCTTTTTCTGTGAGCTCCTAGATTCTTGTCCTGCTGCTGGGGTTCTGAGGCACGAGCCTTCCAGTGCTTGCTAGAAATCCTAAGTGGAATTGCTTACTCTACCTCTGATACCTGGGCTTTGTAGGCTGGGGTGGGCTTTGATTACTCCTTGCTGAAGCAGACTGTTTCTGATTTTTGCCTTCTCTTTGCTGGCCACTTCAGCAACATCTCCTGGAGCGGTTCTTGAACCGGGCAGCGATTGCGTTCCAAAACCTCTTCATGGCAGTGGAAGATCACTTTGAGCTGTGTCTGGCCAAGTGTAGGACTTCATCACAGGTGAGGCACCAGCACATGTCCAGGGCCCAGAAAGTGCCCTTGGGAAATGGGGCTCAATCCTGTGCATGGCTGGTATGTCGTGTTTGTGTTTTCATCAAAGCTGAAGCTAAGGCTGAGAGCCAGTCTGAAGCAAAGCATGTATTTAGAGCAGGATGAGTTCCACATTCTCTTCAGAAAAGAGGGGCTTAACTAAAAACAGAATGAGTTCAATGACCAGTGAAGATCTCAGATGAGTTCTGGGGAACATCTCATTAGGATGAAGACAGTGAGAGCTGTTCCCAGTAGCCTCAGAATGCTCTTTATTTAGTGGTACAGCTGGAGACCAACCATGTGCTGACAATCACCTGCACAGTAACTCGAAAACTATGTTGTAATTTCTTTGTTTATTAAGGACACAGGTGGACTTCTGTTACCCATGTGATTTTATTAGAAGTTTTGGTCTAAGCAAGCAGTGGCCCTTTTAGAAAATGCTGTTGGCCATATCCTACAACTTCAGTATTTCAGGCAGCAGTAGGGATGGACTGCAAACAAAGGATAGAGTTCCAAATGTCTCCAAAGCTACTGGGATTTTTTACCCATAAAATCTGAACTTTACCTTTTGTCAAGAAAAATGCACACATCTCAAGTTGCAACTTTATTGTGCTCTGCTTGCTTAGAACATTTGATGATACTGCCTAAACAGATCTAATTTTTTTTAATGACTTCTGTTCCCACCTACTTGGATAATCTTTTGAAAAGGAGGTTCTGGTTCAACATTGCAGTGCTGTAATAGATCAGCTGGCAATGCAGAGTTCTTTGACACCAAAGGCATTCTGATGTGTAGAAGAATTTGGGATTATTTTTTTTTGCCTGTACATAAACTCTGTGCAGTTTTTCCCTCAGTGAAGGGATGCCCTGTTTCACTGTGTGTATAATTGTCAAAATTCCTCCTTTCCTGGCAGAGTGTGCAGCATGAGAACACCTACAGAGACCCAATTGCCAAATACTGCTATGGGGAGTACCCCCCAGAGCTCCTGCCTGTTTGAGAGCTGCAGGTCTGAGCAGCAGAAGGAAGGAACTGGACCCTTGAATCCCAAAGAACAAGACAGCAGCTGTTGCTTTACCCAAGCCTCTGTGTAAAAAACTTGCCTTGTATGTGGGGGCAAACCCAGAGGTGAAGAGAGGAAGTAAGGAACTTCTTCAGGACTGAATCTTGCTTTCTTCAATTTATTCTGCACCTGCTTTGGAATGCTGGTACTGTGCCAGTGCATTCTTTGAATACTTCCTCTAAATGTCAGGAATCATGGAGTCAATCTAGGCTATAGAACATCATGGGAAAAAATATCTAATGTGGCTTTGCAGCTGTAAATGAAGGTTCAGTTGTGTCTCTGCAGTCCAGAGACTTTCCAGAGGGACAGCAGTAACTGGAGGACTTTTCAGAGGGCAAAGCATGCCCACTGTGCTTCTCTCTCTGGAGCCCTTCTTGACATGCATGGCGTATGCTACATATGTAATTATGAATTATTTATTCATTTTATATGGGTCACTGGCTGAAAGTATGGATGCTTTGCATAGCTAGTTGTGGATGCCTTTCAGTCCCTGCTTTGCTGTGTCAGCTAGAAGGGATAATATTAGATCCTGACTAAAGTTGGTAGGGCTTTTTTTTCCTCCTTAGTCTAAAGGAATTGTGTTGGGATTTGTCACTATAGTACTTATGTTCCTCTTAGTGAGTTTAAACCATTCAGAACTCCAATGGAGTTGTTCTGCCACAGTCCCAAAGCACAAGAGAATAGCAGGGATCTGCCTAGGATGGGATGTTTATTGTCTCTAAACACTTTCCTTGTTACTCTGCAGCAGTTTCCTCAAAGAGGAGTCCAGTTTGGTGAGCAGCTCTCTGCTGTCCACTTGCTGACAGAGAGCAGGGAAGATTTGTTTGCTTGAACTTGTTCAGGCCTTGCTATTTCAAATGTACTTCACTCCTGGTTGTGCAGGAGGCCAAAGGGTGGAGCTGAGCTCTCCACAGCACCTTTCCCAGACCTGCCTGTGCCTTCCCACACTGCTGCAGTGAAGGAGGCAGGGTGGTCTGTCAGCCTGCTCCAGCTCCGTGGTGATTCTGACGCATCCCGAAATGTTTCACATCTGCATCTCCTTTTAGCCCTTGGAACCCCCTTGCACCAAATTTGATCTTCACCTTTGACAAACATAATAAACAGGACTCAGTTAAGAAGATAAGAATTCACTATCCTGTGCTTGCTTTACACAGTACAGTGCCCAGCTCCTGCCACTATACCTCAGGTAATTGAGAAAGGAAGAGGGCAACCTGCGGCCAGGAGTTTAGGATAAAAGGTGGCTGCGTTCTCTGAAATCTCGACAGAGACCCCACGGGGCTATGGCGTAGTGGACTCTCTCCCTGTAATCGAATAAATTTGCAGGACTCCTCTGTCTCCTTTGTGGACACTGGCTTTTCATAGCGCGGTCTTTTCGCACATGCTGGTCACAGGAGCAGGGCAGCGGCCCGACGCGGCCACCGCGGGGCCCTAACGCGGACTGAGGTAACCCGGAAGTGACGCGTGTGGTTTTGTGTTCCCTTGAGCCAATGGTAGCGCCGGCCGCCCCTCACGTGACATCAACACCCGCCCTTGGGGGGCTCTAACTGCGGCGGGGCGCGCGCGCCGCGCTGAGCAGGCGCAGTGCGGCCATGGCGGCGTTCCCGGTTCTGTGGGAATTGTGCGGGGATTCCTCATCCTGCCGCGACAAAGCGTCCCCGCAGAGTCCCCGCGGGCACGCGTGTCCCTGTCCCCCCGGGAGCCGTGCAGGGGTGCGGGCTGCAGCCGGCCCAGAGCCGCGCCCGGGCCGCCGCTGGCCCTGCCCGCCCTGGGCCCGGGACGCACCACAGGAGCCGCGGTGAGGTGAGGGTTGGCCTTTATTGCTTCGATTGAGCTCTGCGGAGCCCCAGCCAGGTCGCGGTGCCGGAGCAGCCCAGGAGGGCCCCAGCCGGGCTCCTGCCGGGCTGCCCAGTGCCCGTGGGGACGCAGCGGAGGATGCTGCAGCACGAAGCGGCGCTGCCGGGCCTGCTCAAGCATGCAGAGATGGATTTCCCATCCCTGCCAGGGCTGCTGCGCTCCCTGCTGAGAGAG